GAGAGAGAGAGAGAGAGAGAGAGAGAGAGAGAGAGAGAGAGAGAGAGAGAGAGAGAGAGAGAGAGAGGAGCAGCAGAAGAGAATGGAGGACCTGACTCACCTGAAGTGTATCGAACTTGGTGAAGAGAACAGTGCAGGTTGGGTTGTCTTTCCCTTCAAGAAGATTCATAATCTGCAGAGATAGCAAGGCATCTCATGTGGTCAGTGGTCGTTTAGTCCCATGTGAATTTGATTCAACCATACTGGATGGTCATTCTTCACTGATCTTCAGGGCCTTGAAGGGGGCCTATCCCTTTCCATTTCATTGAGGAGGAGATATGAAAGGTCCAATGGTGTTTCTCCTGCGGGACCTCAGTAGGACGTCAAGATTTGACGCTGCCAAACAAAATTTCCTCTGTGAAATAACAATCCGTCACATACGAAGTCAAAGTCCTTTGGGCCATCCATTAAAATTGGAACGATAGAGAGAAGGGTACATTAGCAAATGGCCCCTGCGCTTTCAAGGATGACATGCATAAATCGAGAAATAGCCCAAATTAAGAAAGAGAAAAAAGAAAAATCTGTCACAGTGATATCACATATCTCATTTAACCATGGTAATTGGAAGAGGCGCTCCTTTTAAAGTTTAAACACTTTCACAAGTAGTTCATTTAACTGAAACAAAAACCAAAGTCCTTTTGTTCTTTTTCTAAAACTCTACTTCAGTAATAGAATGCCATTGGTTTAGAAAAAGGAGGATCGATTTGGGAAAAACGGATGTGAGCTTAAAACAAAAAAAACTTAGGCCGGGGTGAAGGGTGGTACATCCCTCCTTTGTGAGGGAATCAATCCCGCCCTTCGGTCCTCCACACCATGAGGGAGAGGAGCGTGAGTGAGTATACATTGTAATGTAATCCCTTCCGACTTGCCGGGAACCGGACTGACGCTCCCCAGAATGGAAAAGAAGCCGGAACGCTAGGGTTCTGTTAAAAAAAAAGAAAAAGAAAAAGAAAAAAAAACAGTTTATCCTTCCTTTTCCAACGCATCATGGTGTTTCCAACTCGTCAACAATTTGAAGCGGAGAAAAGAAAGAAAATAATTTTAAAGAACAGAAGGAAGTCGAAGTGCAGTGGATGTTATACGACAGTATTTGCGGCATTTGTTCTATACAAATGCTGTTATGATTCTGAAAATCTCACAAGTGCAAACCTAAAAAAGGGACAATGTCGTTTCAATTGCAAACGAAATGAAAGAGAATGGAAAAACAAAAAAACTAAAGGAAGAAGAAGGGTTTCGTCTGAAGGTATCTGGACTGGATTCGAACTTGAGTCTGTACTTCAACAGTTCAGGGGTGTAGCAACTGAGCTAGGCCCATTGGTGAATTGTGGTATTTTATTCATCTGCTTCCAGTGGAGTTTGAACGGTCCAGGGGTGGGTGTACCAACTGAGGGTGAGGGCGTACTTACACTACCACTATCTCAAATGTACCCGACCGCATCTATGGCCGGATTTATATGCATCTGGCGGCAGTTCCACCCAGAATAAGTACAAAAGTGGACCATTTCTCAATTTATGTGTGTCATCCTTGTGCAGGGGCCATGCTAATCTTCGGTTGCGTTCAGGCTCGACTTAGTGCTTTTTGTTGTTCTTCCCCCCCCCCCCCCCTTTGGTTTGACTCTCTGGGTTCACTATACCACCAGCCTGGTGACATGGCCCTCCTTCACGTTTCATCTCACCCCCGCCTCTGGCCCGCGATGGATGGCCCCTGAGCACAGATGATACGCATAAATCGAGAAATACAAAAAAAAAAAAAAAACGACACAGAAAGAAGATTAGCATCGGCCCTAAGCTCTCTCTCTCTTTCTCTCTTTCTCTCTCTCCCTTTTTCTCTGTTTCTCTCTCATACACACACACACACACACACACACATACACACACATACACAAAACTGTGGCAGTGAATATTTCCATGTTGTAGTGGTCCACAGAGCCGTGATCTTGAAGATTTATTTGTTCTCTACACACACACACTCCCATCTCTCGCTTTTGCCACTCCATTCACCGACGTTCCCCGACTTGCATATCCTCATCCCGCGTCCCTGACTTCCCTCATCTTCCTCCCTTCCAATCCTCGTCAGGCTGGCTGCAAGGCTGACGTGGCTGTCACCACGTGTGCCATCTTATCCACTCCTGTCTCTCTCTCTCTCTCTCTCTCTCTCTCTCTCTCTCTCTCTCTCTCTCTCTCTCTCTCACACACACACACACACACACACACACACACACAGACACACTTTCTCT